TTTTTTTTTTTCCAAAATTTTTGGACACTGGAGCACCATTCAGTTTTTGGGCCCTTTGGACACTAAAGGGGGTTTAAGATTTGTCTAAAATGGGCCACAACTTTGCCTTTGAAATAGTCACCACACGGCTTTGCAAAAGCTGTGTTGGGTGATTTTCACCCAAAAAGGTTTGCAGTTTCAACCCACTTTGCACACATTTCCTTAATTTTTAAAGTGGACAAGGGATTCCCAAAACTGGCATGGGCTTCCAGGGTTACCCCCAAACCCTTCAAAATCTTTTTAATTTCCTATAATTCTCACCCTTTTTACTCAGGGTTGGCCTAAAAGCTTTTTGGGGCCCATGGTGACTTTTTTTTGCAGAAAAACAAGCCCCAAAAAACTGTGAAAAAATATGGAATGTAGAATGTATGCTTAGATGGAGCACACTGGCTGGCTTGTAAACATGGCAAGTACGGGGCAGTTCAGGCCACACGTGGGGGTCCTGGACGAATCGCGTGTGAGGGGTTTTTTTTAACGGTGGCGGGCAAAATTTTTTGGCGTTAAAATGTATCGTATGCCGGGATTAACGTTCCCTTTTGCCACGTATGCGGGGACCCACTAAAATGCATTTTTTCCACGGGTTTTTGTTTCTAAAGTTATGTAATTAATCTTTTTCAAGTTATCAATTATTTTAAAGCTAAAAAATTGGAAAGTTGATACATTGTTTCACAGTTGATAAAATTTTTACTCATTGGCCAGTTTTCAACAACCTAGTGAAATATAAAAGTAAAAAGTAAACCCCCCCGTTAATGGACCTTCACTTAATGGACTTCAGAAATGTGGAACAAAATCTGCTGGGTCAGTTGATTTGGAAACAGTGGACAAAGTCCGTTGGTCGCAGAATTGTTCATTATTGTTACAATCAACACAAAACAATCTTTTCTCTAACCACCATAAATTTCAATACGGCCAGCCCCTGCCCCATTAGTCCTTTAAATAGAGGGTTTACTGTAATCATATTATTTTTAAAATACTATTATTCTCTAGCAATGCATACTTGAAGCAGGAAAGTTATTAATAAACATAATTTTTAGGCTTTGTGCTTGTCACCAACTATGGAGCTGGCACTGCAAACACTAGACTGTGTCAAGCAGATGGGTAAAAAATGTAAAGACATCACCATCCGCTCTGCTGTAAAAGGAGACAGTGGTAAGAACAAGAATGTTAGCAGAGTTGCTGTGTTTTATAACTTCACATGTAAATCTTTGTATGTGCCCAGGGAAATTTAATTAACCCTTTGACTGTTGCGACCCCAAATCCTAAGGTATCTCTCTGTATTGCAAAATTAAAAAAAAGTGTTTTTTCTTATGAAATGATAGGGAATCTTTTCCCGATGTTAATGATGCCAAAAGTATGAAATTTGATGGAAAACTTACGGAATTACGCTCTCGCAAAGTTAGCAATCTTGGCGATGTTTACGCATCAATGATTTCACTCACTTTGAGCCCTATTTTCAAGCAATTCTATTGTTCAGTCAACCAAACTCATAGCTATTTCTTTAGAACTCCCTTTATTCTATCGATTGAGTACAAGAAACCACCCATTTACCGATTTCAACTACCCAATAAAGTGATCAGAAATTGGCAATTTGGCCAATTTCATGCAAATTAAAAAAGATTCCAATTTCAAAATAGGGTTCAGAATGAACAATGCAGACATTCATGGCACTAAAATAACATTTTTTCTGTTCATCAGTCTCATCTCCAGGCCCCTCTTATATTACTCTTGCTTTCTATTTAGAATTTTAATTCATATAAAAAAAAATAGAAGATTTGCTGTTATGCAGACTACTGCATTATTGTAATAATTGTTTAAATAATGTCAACCCATTCATAACTACATATTAGAATGGCTAATTGGACAATGACATCATTTGTTTACTTGTGAACATCGGCTAAAATCGAACATTTCCACTATTTTGAGCTCAATTTGAAGGTCCTAGACTTCATGAAACCAATCAAAATCATCTCCACTTCTGTAATATGTCTTCCATTCTATCAAATGAGACCAAGAAAATGAGACTACAACCATAAATACTATTTGAAAATACACCTCAAAGTCGGTGTTTTAATCCAAAAAAAAGGTAAGAGTTTTTTTTTTTTCACATTATGCACTGCGTGCTGCAGGATTTTTTTTTATACTGCTTACACTGACCACACAGACCCATTCTCTCACATGTGGGCCTACAAGCTTTCTCCAGCTTGATTTGAAACCACTAGAATTTTAGAGTAAAAACACGTCAAAAACACTGGCTCGTAGGACGTATGTATACGACCGAAACAGTCAAAGGGTTAAGGAAGTCTTCTGACACAAACTGTTAGTTTTTTTAAATTGTGCTGATTATCTTACCATAGCATTATATTGTTTATTTGTGTTGTGTGTTGGTGCTAGTGCTGCAGTTTTTAATTTTATTAAGCAGTCCTACCTCAGGTGTTTTTATGAAAGTTTATATTTACCGTACTTTTTATTGCCAAGTGCGCTGAGTGAGCTCGCCACTTCCCTCCTTTCATGAACGGGCATTATCAGCGAATCCCATTTACAGTATTGCTTTCTTTACAGTTTCCCGTGGACAAAGGATCACTGATCATATAGTAATTGGCACCCCAGGGAAGGTTGTTGATTGGGTCACAAAGTACAAATGCCTTGAGTTACGCTTCTGTCGAGTATTTGTGCTTGACGAAGCTGATGTGATGATTGCTACCCAGGGCCATCAGGTACAACTTTTCTTTCAGTGTTTTTGTCTCTTAGTTTCAATTATGCTGTGACTATCATGTAGTTTTCAAGTTATTATATATATATATATTTTTTTTTTCAGCAAGTTGACCATCTCCTGCCGAGGTAAGATGACCCAGAAAAAGAAAGAAACATTTTCACCATTATTCAACATTTTTGCCATCATTTACTCATATTCACTGTCTTGCAGTGGCACCCAGATACAACAGTTTAGATGTCACTCCAAACAGCCAATATCCCAAACCCCTCCTTTAACCCTTAAACTGTCCAAATGTAGATCTACGTTTTTTTCAACATTTGAAAGTATGTAAAAAACGTAGATATTTTTTTTTTTTTTTTTTTTTTTTTTTTTTTTTTTTTTTTTTTTTTTTTTTTTTTTTAACATTTGAAAGCGTGTAAAAAAAACTGATCTATTTATTATTTTTTTGTTTGTTTGTTATATTTGAAAATATCCTAGGTAGTAGGTTGGTAGACAGCAACCGCCCAGGTGAGTGTAAAACAAAAGCCTGTAATTGTTTTACATGATGGTAGGATTGCTGGTGTTCTTTTTTTCTGTCTCATAAACATGCAAGATTTCAGGTACGTCTTGCTACTTCTACTTACACTTAGGTCACACCACACATACATGTACAAGCATATATATACACACCCCTCTGGGTTTTCTTCTATTTTCTTTCTAGTTCTTGTTCTTGTTTATTTCCTCTTATCTCCATGGGGAAGTGGAACAGAATTCTTCCTCCGTAAGCCATGCGTGTCGTAAGAGGCTAGTAACCCCTTCTCCTGTATAAATTACTAAATTTAAAAAGAGAAACTTTTGTTTTTCTTTTTGGGCCACCCTGCCTCGGTGGGATACCGCCGGTTTGTTAAAAGAAGATGATGATTTGAAAATATGTAAAAAAAGTAGATCTACTTTTGGAGCACTACGCATGTTAACGTAGATCTATGTTTGGACAGTTTAAGAGTTAAAGTGCAGGCATTGTACTTCCTACCTCCAAGACTCAAGTCCAGCTAATGGGTTACCCTGAATCCCTTCACAAAATATTACCCTGCTCACACTCCAACAGCTCATCAGGTTCCAAAAACCATTTGTCTCCATTCATCCCTATCTAACTGATTCACACATGCTTGCTGCATGTCCAAGCCCCTTGCACACAAAACTTCTTTTACCCACTCCATCCTTTCCTAGGGTGACCCTCACCCTTCTCCCCTCTGCTACAGATTTATACACCCTCCAAGTCATTCTGTTTTGATCCATCCTCTCTAAAGGACCAAACCACCTCAACAACCCCTCTTCAGCCCTCTGAATAATACCTTTAGTAACTCCACACCTTCTCCTAATTTCCACACTACGAATTCCCTGCATAATATTTACATCACACATTGCCTTAGACACAACATCACTGCCTCCAGTCTCCTTGCTGCAGCATTTACAACAGGGAAACCAGTTAGCCAGACTTGAGTCCTAGAGGTGGGAAGTACAATACCTGCACTTTAAAGTAAGGGTTTGGGATATTGGCTGTTTGGAGTGACATCTAAACTGCCTCTGCAAAAACAGTGATTATATGTGAATGATGGTGAAAGTGTTACTTTCTTTTTTGGGTCACCCTTCCTCAGTGGGAGACGCCAACATGTTGAAAAAAAATAAAACTTTGACCCCTTACTAGGATCCTCTTCATCCTGTTGAAGAGGATCCCAGCAGAGGGTCAAAATATACAGATCAGTTATTCTTATTGAGCATCTTAGTAAAATATTATCTTAGGTATTATGCAGAAGACTTGTTAACAACACTTGGTTTACAGGACCAGTCTGTGCGAATCCATAAACAACTTCCCCAGACTTGTCAGATGATGTTGTTCTCAGCTACCTATGTTGATGAGGTTGTTACTTTTGCTGAGGCCATCATTAAGAACCCAGTCATACTCCGTCTGAAGAGGGAAGAGGAAACACTTACTAATATTAGACAGGTGAGGCAGTCGCTTACGTTGTTACTTCTGGCCCATGTAAGTATTGTCAGTGGAAAGCACCCTGTCTTCCAAACAGGAAGCTTATCTTCACACATTAGTGTGTCAGTTACAACACCTAAACAGATACCAAAATTAAATATTGATTATTTTAAGTTGTGTTAGTTTAGATTAACCCAAATTAGTCTATATGTACATACTGGGTATACAGCAGTTAATGAAATTTTATTGACTGGTAGCTTGTGTCTGGCAGCATTGAAAATATTGTTACCACTTAAATAGTCATAAACTCCACACATTCTGTTAAAAATTAAATATAGATTGGAAAACAAGAGTTCAGGGTTCTTTTCCATGTCTTATAGCAGTCTTTTTTTTTTTGTGCTTGCAAAGCTTTGTATGAAGAAAAAATTCACAAGTTTCATTGGTGACTAAATATGAATTAACTTAGCTTAAAAAATGGTTTCATCATCTGCTAACTTGCTAAAAGCTTATTGCTCTGTGGCATCACCAGTCACAATTTTTCTGGTGTCTCTTCAGCCATTGTGTTTGTAAATATTTCATTAGCAAACCCTCACAAGTTTTCACTACCACACATTCTTCAGCCAAGACTGTAGACAACTTACTCATACCATCTTGAACACTAGACCTTCAGAACGTACCACAGAGACGTGCAATACTTAGCCCTCCTGTGGGGTGATGGGGAAAACACCCTTAAAACACTTGTTAAGTGATATCAACGTGGCCATGATAGTAGTAGCCTCCATCAAACATCTCATCACAAGGTGGCCTACTGCTACATTCCCAGTATCTACTGTTGATGTCTACACTATCCCATGTGGACACTGCAACAAGAAGTATGTAGGGGAGACTGATAGAAATCTTATCTATTAGGATCAAGGGTTGTGAATATGCATACATGAAGGGATAGTCAAAGTAATGCCTGTGTGATACATTTTGACACTGCCATTTAAAGTAGTGGAATGAAGCCCAGCTGGTCATCAAGGAGTCAGATTTAAGGAGCTGTCATTGTTCAGAAACATCTCTGATAGCAGCAATAAATACAGTAGCAGAGAGTGCAGGATTTATGACATATCTGCAACGTTGACCCACGTGCTTTCAAACAATTATTTATTATTATTAACACACAGGCCGATTCCCACCAAGGCAGGGTGGCCCGTAAAAGAAAAACTTTCACCATCATTCACTCCATCACTGTCTTGCCAGAAGGGTGCTTTACACTACACCTTTTAAACTGCAACATTAACACCCCTCCTTCAGAGTGCAGGCACTGTACTTCCCATCTCCAGGACTCAAGTCCGGCCTGCCGGTTTCCCTGAATCCCTTCATAAATGTTACTTTCCTCACACTCCAACAGCACGACAAGTATTAAAAACCATTTGTCTCCATTCACTCCTATCAAACATGCTCACGCATGCCCGCTGGAAGTCCAAGCCCCTCACACACAAAACCTCCTTTAATCCCTCCCTCCAACCTTTCCTAGGCCGACCCCTACCCCACCTTCCTTCCACTACAGACTGATACACACTTGAAGTCATTCTGTTTCGCTCCATTCTCTCTACACGTCCGAACCACCTCAACAACCCTTCCTCAGCCCTCTGGACAACAGTTTTGGTAATCCTGCACCTCCTCCTAACTTCCAAACTACGAATTCTCTGCATTATATTCACACCACACATTGCCCTCAGACATGACATCTCCACTGCCTCCAGCCTTCTCCTCACTGCAACATTCATCACCCATGCTTCACACCCATATAAGAGCGCTGGTAAAACTATACTCTCATACATTCCCCTCTATGCCTCCAAGGACAAAGTTCTTTGTCTCCACAGACTCCTAAGTACACCGCTCACCTTTTTCCCCTCATCAATTCTATGATTCACCTCATCTTTCATAGACCCATCCGCTGACACGTCCACTCCCAAATATCTGAATACATTCACCTCCTCCATACTCCTCTCCCTCCAATCTGATATCCAATCTTTCATCACCTAATCTTTTTGTTATCCTCATAACCTTACTCTTTCCTGTATTCACTTTTAATTTTCTTCTTTTGCATACCCTACCAAATTCATCCACCAACCTCTGCAACGTCTCTTCAGAATCTCCCAAGAGCACAGTGTCATCAGCAAAGAGCAACTGTGACAACTCCCACTTTGTGTGATTCTTCATCTTTTAACTCCACGCCTCTTGCCAACACCCTCACATTTACTTCTCTTACAACCCCATCTATAAATATATTAAACAACTACGGTGACATCACACATCCTTGTCTAAGGCCTACTTTTACTGGGAAATAATCCCCTCTTTCCTACATACTCTAACTTGAGCCTCACTATCCTCGTAAAAACTCTTCACTGCTTTCAGTAACCTACCTCCTACACCATACACCTGCAACATCTGCCACATTGCCCCCCTATACACCCTGTCATACGCCTTTTCCAAATCCATAAATGCCACAAAAACCTCTTTAGCCTTATCTAAATACTGTTCACTTGTATGTTTCACTGTAAACACCTGGTCCACACACCCCCTACCTTTCTTAAAGCCTCCTTGTTCATCTGCTATCCTATTCTCCGTCTTACTCTTAATTCTTTCAATAATAACTCTATACACTTTACCAGGTATACTCAACAGACTTCTTTCTTTCTTTCAACACACCAGCCGTATCCCACCGAGGCGGGGTGGCCCAAAAGGAAAAACAAAAGTTTCTCCTTTTACATTTAGTAATATATACAGGAGAAGAGGTTACTAGCCCCTTGCTCCCGGCATTTTAGTCGCCTCTTACAACACGCATGGCTTACGGAGGAAGAATTCTGTTCCACTTCCCCATGGAGATAAGAGGAAATAAACAAGAATAAGAACTAGAAAGAAAATAGAAGAAAACCCAGAGGGGTGTGTATATATGTGCTTGTACATGTATGTGTAGTGTGACCTAAGTGTAAGTGTAAGTAGAAGTAGCAAGACGTACCTGAAATCTTGCATGTTCATGAGACAGAAAAAAGGACACCAGCAATCCTACCATCATGTAAAACAATTACAGGCTTTCGTTTTACACTCACTTGGCAGGACGGTAGTACCTCCCTGAGCGGTTGCTGTCTACCAACCTACTACCTAGGTCTCAACAGACTTATCCCCCTATAAATTTTGCACTCTCTTTTGTCCCCTTTGCCTTTATACAAAGGAACTATGCATGCTCTCTGCCAATCCCTAGGTACTTTACCCTCTTCCATACATTTATTAAATTGCACCAACCACTCCAAAGCTATATCCCCACCTGCTTTTAACATTTCTATCTTTATCCCATCAATCCCGGCTGCCTTAACCCCTTTCATTTTACCTACTGCCTTAAGAACTTCCCTGACACTCGCAACTGGCTCCTCCTCACTCCTACAAGATGTTATTCCTCCTTGCCCTATACACGAAATCACAGCTTCCCTATCTTCATCAACATTTAACAATTCCTAAAAATATTCCCTCCATCTTCCCAATACCTCTAACTCTCCATTTAATAACTCTCCTCTCCTATTTTTAACTGACAAATCCATTTGTTCTCTAGGCTTCCTTAACTTGTTAATCTCGCTCCAAAACTTTTTCTTATTTTCAACAAAATTTGTTGAAAACATCTCACCCACTCTCTCATTTGCTCTCTTTAACATTGCTTCACCACTCTCTTAACCTCTCTCTTTTTCTCCCATATACTCATCCCTCCTTGCATCACTTCTCATATGCTAACTTTTTCTCTCCCTTACTACTCTCTTTACATCATCATTCCCCCAATCGCTCCTTTTCCCTCCCCCCCCTACTTTCTGAAACCCACAAACTTCTGCTGACACTTTAACACTATTTTTTTAAAAACCAAACCCCTCCTCTTCGCCCCCTTGCCTATGCTCTCATTGCCCATCTATCCTCCAATGCTGTTTTATCTTACCCAAACGCCTCCTTTTTTTAGTTTTATAAACCTTCACCCTCCTTTCCCTGATGTTTCTATTCCCCTTTGTACCCATCTACCTTTTACTCTCAGGGGTAGCTACAACTAAAAAGTGATCTGATATATCTGTGGCCCCTCATAAACAGTACATCCTGAAGTCTTTTCAACATCTTTTATCTACCAAAACATAACCAACAAACTACTGCATTTCGCCCTACATCATATCTTGTATCTTTTTATCCTCTTTTTTTTAAAATATGTTTACCTATAACTAAACCCCTTCTATACAAAGTTCAATGAAAGGGGGCCCCCAATTTCATTTACACCTGCCCCCCCCAAAATTACCTACCACAACCCCTCTAAAAGTTTCTCCTACTTTAGCATTCAGGTCCTCTACCACAATTACTCTCTCACTTGGTTCAAAGGTTCCTATACATTCACTTAACATCTCCCAAAATCTCTCTCTCTCCTGTACATTCCTCTCTTCTCCAGGTGCATACATGCTTATTATGACCCACTTTTCGCATCCAACCTTTACTTAAATCCACATAATCCTTGAATTTACACATTCATATTCTCTTTTCTCCTTCCATAACTGATCCTTCAACATTACTGCTACCCCTTCCTTAGCTCTAACTCTCTCAGATACTCCAGATTTAATCCCATTTATTTCCCCCCACCGAAACTCCCCTACCCCCTTCAGCTTTGTTTCGCTTAGGGCCAGGACATCCAACCTCTTTTCATTCATAACATCAGCAATCATCTGTTTCTTGTCATCCGCACTACATCCACGCACATTCAAGCATCCCAGTTTTATAAAGTTTTTCTTCTCTTTTTTAGTAAATGTCTACAGGAAATGGGGTTACTAGCCCATCGCTCCCGGCATTTTAGTCGCCTCATACGACACGCATGGCTTATGGAGGAAAGATTCTTTTCCATTTCCCCATGGACAATAGAAGAAATAAAGAAGAACAAGAGCTATTTAGAAAAAGGAGAAAAACCTAGATCTTCTTCTTTCAACGTACCAGCCGTATCCCACTGAGGTGGGGTGGCCCAAAAGAAAAAACTGAAGTTTCTCCTTTTAAATTTAGTAATATATACAGGAGAAGGGGTTACTAGCCCCTTGCTCCCGGCATTTTAGTCGCCTCTTACGACACGCATGGCTTACAGAGGAAGAATTCTGTTCCACTTCCCCATGGAGATAAGAGGAAATAAACAAGAACAAGAATTAGAAAGAAAATAGAAGAAAACCCAGAGGGGTGTGTATATATATGCTTGTACATGTATGTGTAGTGTGACCTAAGTGTAAGTAGGAGTAGCAAGATATCCCTGTTATCTAGCATGTTTATGAGACAGAAAAAGACAACCCTTTATAAAAATTACTGAGGTACCTGTGGGGATCTCTTCATGATTTTTAGGTGAATCTTTTGACTCGCCTAAATTTAAAAGGAGAAGCTTTCATTTTTCCTTTTGGGCCTCCCTACCTCAGTAGGATATGGCCAGGTTGTTGAAAGAAAGAAAAAGAATTTAATGGAGTGTTTAGTTGAGGTGAATCATAGAATTGATGAGAGGAAAAGGGTGAGCGGTGCACTTAGGAGTCTGTGGAGGCAAAGAACTTTGTCCTTGGTGGCAAAGAGGGGAATGTATGAGAGTATAGTTTTACCAACGCTCTTATATGGGTGTGAAGCATGGGTGATGAATGTTGCAGTGAGGAGAAGGCTGGAGGCAGTAGAGATGTCATGTCTGAGGGCAATGTGTGGTGTGAATATAATGCAGAGAATTCGTAGTTTGGAAGTTAGGAGGAGGTGCGGGATTGCCAAAACTGAGGAAGGGTTGTTGAGGTGGTTCGGACATGTAGAGAGAATGGAGTGAAACAGAATGACTTCAAGAGTGTATCAGTCTGTAGTGGAAGGAAGGCGGGGTAGGGGTCGGCCTAGGAAAGGTTGGAGGGAGGGGGTAAAGGAGGTTTTGTGTGCGTGGGGCTTGGACTTCCAGCGGGCATGCGTGAGCGTGTTTGATAGGAGTGAATGGAGACAAATGGTTTTTAATACTTGACGTGCTGTTGGAGTGTGAGCAAAGTAACATTTATGAAGGGATTCAGGGAAACCGGCAGGCCGGACTTGAGTCCTGGAGATGAGAAGTACAGTGCCTGCACTCTGAAGGAGGGGTGTTAATATTGCAGTTTAAAAGCTGTAGTGTAAAGCACCCTTCTGGCAAGACAGTGATGGAGTGAATGATGGTGAAAGTTTTTCTTTTTTGGGCCACCCTGCCTTGGTGGGGAGGGGCCAGTGTGTTAATAAAAAAAAAATTAACTGTGTGTGATAATATATACGCTTTGAAAGTTTATGTTTGTTGGTTTTATTGTTTGTTAATTTTTTTTTTTTAGCAAGTTGGCCATCTCCCACTGAGGCAGGGTGACCCAAAAAGAAAGAAAATCCCCAAAAAGAAAATACTTTCATCATCATTCAACACTTTCACCTCACTCATACATAATCACTGTTTTTGCAGAGGTGCCCAGAATACAACAGTTTAGAAGCATATATGTATAAAAATACACAACATATCCCTCCAAACTGCCAATGTCCCAAACCCCTCCTTTAAAGTGCAGGCATTGTACTTCCCATTTCCAGCACTCAAGTCCAGCTATATAAAAATAACCGGTTTCCCTGAATCCCTTCACTAAATATTACCCTACTCTCCAATAGCTCGTCAGGTCCCAAATACCATTTGTCTCCATTCACTCCTATCTAACGCGCTCACGCACGCTTGTTGGAAGTCCAAGCCCCTCACCCACAAAACCTCGTTTACCCCCTCTTTCCAACCTTTTCAAGGACGACCCCTACCCCGCCTTCCTTCCCCTACAGATTTATACGCTCTGCATGTCATTCTACTTTGATCCATTCCCTCTAAATGACCAAACCACCTCAACAACCCCTCTTCAGCCCTCTGACTAATACATGTACTTTTATTAACTCCACACCTCCTAATTTCCACACTCTGAATTATTGTGTGTGTTGAATATATTTTTTATGGCTATGAGTGCTGAGCGACATATGTGGTCAAGGTGCTCAATAAATGTCTCGTCTACTACTGCCCTATCCACCTCGGGACAAAGCCATTCCATAAACATAAGAATGAAGAGCACTGCAGTAGGCCTTCTGACCTATTCTAAGCAAGTTATTTCCAAATCCTCCTTTTATTCACTCATATATTTGTCGAACCTGTTCTTAAGGCTACTCAATTTTATTATCTTACCTGACCTTACTGAAGTTCAGCTTGCCTCACATGTACCTTCTCTATATGAATCTGTTTCTCATGCCCCATATATGCTTAGAGTAAACAAAGTTCCAGGACCAAAAAGTATACATAATATAATGTACTAGGTGCTCTCTCGTGTATCTTTAACCATAGCTTGTTAGTATCATATACAGTGGTACCCTGAGTCTTGAACTTTCTTCGTTCCAGAAGGCTGTTCCAGTGCCGTTACCAAACGAATTTGTTCCCATTAGGAATAATGTAAATTAGATTAGTCCGTTTCAGACCCCCAAAAAAACAATTACAAAAGCACTTACAATAACACACTTACATAATTGGTCAAGTTGGGAGCAGTTCGAAACTCGGGGCACCACTGTACCAGGTTTTTACTATTGTTTAACATTTAGGCAAGTGGTATTTAATAAGTTATAATTTGTTGTACCACCCTTGAGCATTCTTGAAGGAGTTGTGTTTATTGTATCTTTCAGACTTCTTGTTCAGGATGCTTACTGTATGTCTTCGTGTATTTTGCAGATGTATGTTGAATGTTATAGCCAGGAAGAGAAGTACCAGGCAATCGCTAACATCTACACCATCCCAGTGGGCAGTGCCATGTTCTTCTGCCACACTAAACACAATGCTAATTGGTTGGCAACACGTCTTAAGAAGGATGGTCACCAAGTAGCGCTACTGACGGGTAAGGATAAACATTCAACAAGTTAAATCTTTCTCAACTCATTTCATTAACCAAGATATATACATATTTATCCTTGTCACATCTTTAAATATTACATCAACTATAATGCATTTTAACTGATTTGGTTAAAAAAGCACACCAATTCTTGCTAGAAGATAATACATTTTTTGTCATTGTATCGGAAGAATATTGTTTGATAAAAAATTAAACTGTTATCCAAATATGTTTGCTTTTAAAATTTTAACCTCGATAACAAAATCAGAAAATTCGGAGTGTGGAAATTAGGAGAAGGTGTGGAGTTAATAAAAGTACATGTATTAGTCAGAGGGCTGAAGAGGGGTTGTTGAGGTGGTTTGGTCATTTAGAGGGAATGGATCAAAGTAGAATGACATGCAGAACGTATAAATCTGTAGGGGAAGGAAGGCGGGGTAGGGGTCGTCCTCGAAAACGTTGGAGGGAGGGGGTAAAGGTGGTGTTGTGGGCGAGGGGTTTGGACTTCCAGCAAGCGTGCGTGAGCGTGTTACCTGGAGTTTACCTGGAGAGAGTTTCGGGGGTCAACGCCCCCGCGGCCCGGTCTGTGACCAGGCCTCCTGGTGGATCAGCGCCTGATCAACCAGGCTGTTGCTGCTGGCTGCACGCAAACCAACGTACGAGCCACAGCCCGGCTGATCAGGAACTGACTTTAGGTGCTTGTCCAGTGCCAGCTTGAAGACTACCAGGGGTCTGTTGGTAATCCCCCTTATGTGTGCTGGGAGGCAGTTGAACAGTCTCGGGCCCCTGACACTTATTGTATGGTCTCTTAACGTGCTAGTGACACCCCTGCTTTTCATTGGGGGATGGTGCATCGTCTGCCAAGTCTTTTGCTTTCGTAGTGAGTGATTTTCGTGTGCAAGTTCGGTACTAGTCCCTCTAGGATTTTCCAGGTGTATATAATCATGTATCTCTCCCTCCTGCGTTCCAGGGAATACAGGTTTAGAAACCTCAAGCTCTCCCAGTAATTGAGGTGTTTTATCTCCGTTATGCGCGCCGTGAAAGTTCTCTGTACATTTCTAGGTCGGCAATTTCACCTGCCTGAAAGGTGCTGTTAGAGTGCAGCAATATTCCAGCCTAGATAGAACAAGTGACCTGAAGAGTGTCATCATGGGCTTGGCCTCCCTAGTTTTGAAGGTTCTCATTATCCATCCTGTCATTTTTCTAGCAGATGCGATTGATACAATGTTTATGGTCCTTGAAGGTGAGATCCTCCGACATAATCACTCCAGGTCTTTGACGTTGGTGTTTCGCTCTATTTGTGGCCAGAATTTGTTTTTACTCTGATGAAGATTTAATTTCCTCATGTTTACCATATCTGAGTAATTGAAATTTCTCATCGTTGAACTTCATATTGTTTTCTGCAGCCCACTGAAAGATTTGGTTGATGCCCGCCTGGAGCCTTGCAGTGTCTGCAATGGAAGACACTGTCATGCAGATTCGGGTGTCATCTGCAAAGGAAGACACGGTGCTGTGGCTGACATCCTTGTCTATGTCGGATATGAGGATGAGGAACAAGATGGGAGCTAGTACTGTGCCTTGTGGAACAGAGCTTTTCACCGTAGCTGCCTCGGACTTTACTCTGTTGACGACTACTCTCTGTGTTCTGTTAGTGAGGAAATTATAGATCCATCGACCGACTTTTCCTGTTATTCCTTTAGCGCGCATTTTGTGCGCTATTACTCATGGTCACACTTGTCGAAGGCTTTTGCAAAGTCTGTATATATTACATCTGCATTCTTTTTGTCTTCTAGTGCATTTAGGACCTTGTCGTAGTGATCCAGTAGTTGAGACAGACAGGAGCGACCTGCTCTAAACCCATGTTGCCCTGGGTTGTGTAACTGATGGGTTTCTAGATGGGTGGTGATCTTGCTTCTTAGGACCCTTTCAAAGATTTTTATGATATGGGATGTTAGTGCTATTGGTCTGTAGTTCTTTGCTGTTGCTTTACTGCCCCTTTGTGGAGTGGGGCTATGTCTGTTGTTTTTAGTAACTGAGGGACGACCCCCGTGTCCATGCTCCCTCTCCATAGGATGGAAAAGGCTCGTGATAGGGGCTTCTTGCAGTTCTTGATGAACACAGAGTTCCATGAGTCTGGCCCTGGGGCAGAGTGCATGGGCATGTCATTTATCGCCTGTTCGAAGTCATTTGGCGTCAGGATAACATCGGATAGGCTTGTGTTAATCAAATTTTGTGGCTCTCTCATAAAAAATTCATTTTGATCTTCGACTCTCAGTCTGGTTAGCGGCTTGCTAAAAACTGAGTCATATTGGGACTTGAGTAGCTCACCCCATTTCCTTGCTGTCATCTGTGTAGGACCCATCTTGTTTAAGTAGGGGCCCAATACGGGACGTTGTTCTCGATTTTGATTTGGCATAGGAGAAGAAATACTTTGGGTTTCTTTCGATTTCATTTATGGCTTTTAGTTTTTTCCCCCGCGATTCCTGACTCCTAAAGGATTCTTTTAGCTTAAGTTCGATGCTTGCTATTTCTCTGACCAGTGTCTCCCTGCGCATTTCAGATATATTGACCTCTTTTAGCCGCTCTGTTATTCTTTTCCGTCGCCTGTAAAGGGAGCGCCTGTCTCTTTCTATTTTACATCTACTCCTCCTTTTTCTTAAGGAATAAGCCTTGTGCATACATCGAGTGCCACCGAGTTAATCTGTTCTAGGCATAAGTTTGGGTCTGTGTTGCTTAGTATATCTTTCCCAGCTTATATCGGTTAGGACTTGGTTTACTTGGTCCCTCTTTATTTTTTTGTTATTGAAGTTGAATTTGGTGAATGCTCCCTCGTGACTAGTCTCATTTTGTCGGTCTGGGCTCCACGCATACATGTCTGAACCTCAATTATGTTGTGATCTGAGTATATTGTTTTTGATATGGTGACATTTCTTATCAGATCATCATTGTTAGTGAAGATGAGGTCTAGTGTATTCTCCAGTCTAGTAGGCTCTATTATTTGCTGGTTTAAATTGAATTTTGTGCAGAGATTTAAAAGCTTGTGTGAGTGTGAGTTTTTCATCAGAGCTGCCTCCTGGTGTTATTACTGCAACAATATTATTTGCTATATTCCTCCATTTTAGGTGCCTTAAGTTGAAATCCCCCAGGAGCAAGATGTTGGGTGCAGGAGCTGGAAGATTTTCCAGACAGTGGTCAATTTTTAAAGCTGTTCCTGGAATTGCTGGGATGTTGCATCCGGAGGCTTGTAGACTACCACAATGACTAGGTTTTGGTTCCTCGACCTTTACTGCTAAAACTTCCACTACATCATTTGAGGCATTAAGCAGTTCTGTGCAAACAAGTACTCTGCAATGTACAGGCCAACCTCCCTTTGGCCTGTTCACTCTGTCACATCTGTATAGGTTGTAACCTGGGATCCATATTTCGTTGTCCAAGTGATCCTTTATGTGGGTCTCAGTGAAAGCCGCGAACATTGCCTTTGCCTCTGCAAGCAGTCCACGGATGAAAGGTATTTTGTTGTTTGTTTGCTGGCTTTAGACCCTGTAATATTTGCAAAGAAGAATGTTATCGGACTGGTGGTATTGTTGGTACTGGGGGGGGATTTTTTTTCCGGCATTAGTATCTGTATCTGTTGGTTTGGAGTGGAGGCCATCGACTGTGGTTCCACTCCAGGAATGACTGGATTTGGTGTACGATTTCTGCCATTTCCTGCCAGTTTTTTTTCCTTCCTGGCACTAAAAAACCTCTCCCTCTTGAGTGGCTGTGGCTACCCAGGTTTTCCCATGGCCTGGATGTTTTGTATCTTTTTGTCCCCTTTAGATGGTATGCCTGGCAATTTAAGTTATAGCACAGTCTTTCCTGTCCTGAGTGAATGGAGACAAATGGTATTTGGGACCTGACGATCTGTTGGAGTGTGCGCAGGGTAATATTTAGTGAAGGGATTCAGGGAAACCAGTTATTTTATATAACCGGGCTTGTGTCCTGGAAATGGGAAGTACAGTGGACCCCCGCTTAAAGATCGCCTCCCAATGCGACCAATTATGTAAGTGTATTTATGTAAGTGCGTTTGTACGTGTATGTTTGGGGGTCTGAAATGGACTAATCTACTTCACAATATTCCTTATGGGAACAAATTCGATCAGTACTGGCACCTGAACATACTACTTCTGGAATGAAAAAATATCGTTAATCGGGGGTCCACTGTACAATGCCTGTACTCTAAAGGAGGAGTTTGGGATATTGGCAGTTTGGAGAGATATATTGTGTATTTTTATATGTACACCTACCATCCGACTTACAACCAAGCTTGGTTCCGACCAACCGGTCATAAGTCAAAATGGACGTAAGTCGAACCTTTGAAAATTGCCGACATACTGGGTAGGGCATAATGTCAAACTTTTCCTATATAAACTACCTACATAGTACTGTAATGTAATGTACAATCATTATTTCATTCTTTTTACCATAATTTACTTCTATTGTTATATTTTAATTATTTATTTACTGTATATAATGTATACATGGTAGTGAACTGTTTTGTAAATTTTACATCTCATACAGTATCATATGTTACTGCTATCTTTAAGTATTGTTGACACAGTGGAATGGGAGAATATCACTGGTAGTGTCATCCTGCCAGAATGTTGTGTAACCTATACCCTAAGTAAAGAGAAACAACTCTGGAACATGTGTAATACGTAGCTGGCTGGCTGGCCGGGTGGGTGGCTGGGTGGATGGGAGGCCAGGTGGGTGATTGGCTGACTGAATGTGGCTCTGGCTCTCTCTCTCTCTCTCTCTCTCTCTCTGGCTCTCTCTCTCTGGCTCTCTCTCTCTCGCTCTCTCTCTCTCTGGCTCTCTCTCTCTCTGGCTCTCTCTCTCTCTGGCTCTCTCTCTCTCTGGCTCTCTCTCTCTCTGGCTCTCTCTCTCTCTGGCTCTCTCTCTCCTCTCTCTCTCTCTCTCTCTCTCCTCTTCTCTCTCCTCTCTCTCTCTCTCTCTCTCCTCTCTCTCCT